GAATCGTTTAGGTGCTTTGATTGGGAACCAAGTGATTTCAGGCATGTTGAAGTCCCCACAAATAGCCTTGCTTGTGAACGGTAGGGATGAAACAAATGTGGTGGTGTTTTGTTCTCTGAGCTGGTTGTTTTGGTTGTGGAGCTTTCATTGTTCTTCTGAACAACATCATCAGCACGAACTTCAGATAGAAGTGAAGCATTAGAATTTCTCCACGTTTGACCTGCAGCTTGTTCTGCTAACCTCGATCTTGATTGGTTGCTGTTGACATTTGACCTGTCGTTGTTTGCAACTATGTTTTGATTGCCTCCCTCTTTTGATCTGTTTCTTGATCTAGTGTCACCTATGATTTTCCTGATTGGTTGATAAATTGGGTCAATATCGATGTGTTTGTTGATTGCTAATTGACCTGAGTGCCAAGCTTCTAAAAATTCTCTAGTGTTCTTTGTCCTCCCCCTACCTAGTATTTCCACGTTGTTCCAATCAAATGTGTGTCCATAATTGTCGGTGTGTATTGATATAAGCGAAGCGTTGTCGTGGCGTTTGACTGCTAATTGATGTTCACGTAAACGGAGCTGAAGAGGTCGTCCACTTTGTCCTATGTAGTGTTTTTCACAATTTGAGCAATTTATTTTGTAGATGATATTTGGTTTTTCTTCCTTTGTCATTTTGTCCTTTGGTCTACATAGGATTGACTGAAGTGATTCCGTTGGTTTGTGTGCCACACCTATTCCAAATGGTTTCAGTAGTCGTGCCGTATGCTCTGATATGTCTTTGATGTATGGTAGGATGATGCTCCGTTTACGTGAACATCAATTAGCAGTCAAACGCCACGACAACGCTTCGCTTATATCAATACACACCGACAATTATGGACACACATTTGATTGGAACAACGTGGAAATACTAGGTAGGGGGAGGACAAAGAACACTAGAGAATTTTTAGAAGCTTGGCACTCAGGTCAATTAGCAATCAACAAACACATCGATATTGACCCAATTTATCAACCAATCAGGAAAATCATAGGTGACACTAGATCAAGAAACAGATCAAAAGAGGGAGGCAATCAAAACATAGTTGCAAACAACGACAGGTCAAATGTCAACAGCAACCAATCAAGATCGAGGTTAGCAGAACAAGCTACAGGTCAAACGTGGAGAAATTCTAATGCTTCACTTCTATCTGAAGTTCGTGCTGATGATGTTGTTCAGAAGAACAATGAAAGCTCCACAACCAAAACAACCAGCTCAGAGAACAAAACACCACCACAATCATCCACCTGAGCTACAAGTTTTCTCCACCATCTCATGAAACAAATGTGAATACTTCTGACAATAATGCTAGATCTCCTGTTGGTACATTAGGCTGTCGGTAGACACAGCCGAACAGTAAGGAAACGGCATTTGACGGTTTCAGAACGATCCACACAGAGTCTGGCAATCTATTTAGTTCAGATATATCACATAAGAGCGAGTTTAGGCTAGAGTGGGCATATATAAGGCATCCTCCACCTCTTCCTTGTAACCTATCACTTCGAAACAGATCATAGTTTTCAAGAGATATAGTAAGATCAGAAATATTACTACAGGTCCATGCCTCAGTTATCATAATAAGTGATGGTTGGCAGATAGTAGCAAACATGACTAGATCTGTCTTTTTATTACAGATTGAACGAGCATTAATAAGACATATATTAAACAGATGTCCCGCTAAGCTAAAATAGTTTAGGGTATCTTGAGTAAAGGAGTTACTATGACCTACGTGAGTGTGGTATGAGGAGTTACGGGGGGACATGTTAAGTAAATAACTGAAATTTACAGGAGGGGTTGTTAGCCCGGGGGAAAGGGGGAGAATGTTGTCTGTTTGAGATTGTGCGAGGAGAGTGTTTTTATGTTCTGTATGTGGTATGAAATGACTTGAGCTATATGTCGCGCAAGAGGTACCACAAGTGGCTGTATCCCGAAAAAATTTTGATTCGGCTGGCATTGCGGTTCACCACCGTTTCTAGTAATGTCTTGATGACACAGCTCGTTACTAAGGCTAAATTTATACGGAATGGTTTTAACTTGGGGAGGGTTAGCCATACACGAGTGCCAGTTGCTATGGCCTTTTCTAAATTTGGGGCTCATGTATACCAGCTGGCTTGGTAGACCAGGATGCATAGAGTTTTCATTCTCAGCGTTTTTGCGAATAAAAGCCCGGGTATTTAGGATAGGGTGAGGGGTGAAAAATCTCCCATTTCCACTTTCACTAATAGTTCTAGGATTAGGTGGTTGGGCAGTGCACCTAGCTCTTGGATAATAATTATTTGTGCGCATGTTCAGATGTTGGTCTGACCTGTTCTTAATATTATCAGTCTTACAACTTGGAGAGGCTAGGGGCACATCACATGACATTAAAGTAGTGAACCTGTTCATCGTAGTTGGAAAAGTCGGTGGGAATCGTGTTTGAATCCTACTTATTTTTTTACTTGAGACCCAAGATTCAATCAGGTCACTCTTCTTAGTTAAAGACGGAGAATGTTTTGGTCCCCTGGACGTGTTTTTCAAAAACATGTCAGTTTCTATCGTATTCTCTCGTGCAATATATTTTGTGGATGGATTCTTAATTTTATTAGTTTTAGCTGGAACAGTGTTGTTTTTTGGGACATTTTCAGTCAAGTTAACGTTTAAACAGCTGGGATTAGAACTGCAAGGGTCGTTCGATTTCTTGGTGACAGAGGGCATCTGTACTTTGTTAGAAGGTTTACAGTCCACAGGCTTATCAAGATCTACATCGTGGTTTACTTGTTTATTTACTTTCATGACATTGAGGGTTATTTTCTGTAGATTGTCTGCTGTCTCACTGTTATGTGATCTAGTCGCCTCTCTTGTTTTTACACGGCGTTGACAAGGCGTTAGATCCGGGGTAACCTTTACTTCTTTGTATAAGGTTGATGAGCTAATATTTTTGCTCAAACGGATAAATTGTTTGGCGTCGTTGCAGCAGCCGAATTTGAACAGAAGGGGGCAAGTTGATTTGTCCGATTTTTTTCTGAGGCGAGTGACGTGACAGCTGACGTTTGTCATATCACACGCTTTCAGACAGGTATCCTTTAGCGAATTCAAGGATGTATGGTCGGGGAGGTTATAAGCTATCGCATTGCAGGAAGACATTATTCTTTTCGTAACTTCCTCAGCTACAAAGCCTAGGATATATTCCGCTTTGGCTAATTCTTCTAGGTTCCTATCATTATTCGGGGTCCATAGGTGCATGGGGGTGCTAACAGGTTAAGCTTATCGTTAATTTGGGCAAGTGAGTTTTGTAACTGTCGTATATCGCTGCCATGGTTATTACTACTATTAACGGTTTCGGGTAGAGCATTCAACTCCTTGGTTTGTGAATTTCCTGATTAAG